ACTTGTATGATAATGAATTTTACCACTATTAGTTATTTTTTAATTTAACTTGTGTGCTCCATATTCAGTGACATGGAAAGTGAAATCAAACATGAAACAAAAGAGCAAAGGTGATCATAAAACAGGCAAAATATACCTCCATAGCCATAATTATTTACGTTGTGACAATAATAGACAAATTTTAAAAACTACACCGATATGGCCATTTCGTTCATATAATTAACGATTTTCTCACGATTTTCTGACCGAAAAAGGCTATTTGTGACGTGGCCAAGTTTCGGCATGCAAAGTAGATGAACAAAAAAAATCTAAAATAAATTTTTAAATTTTTAAAAAGGGTTTTCTCATCATCCCGTCTCGTCTTTCCACCCTCGTGTCCTTGATTATTCCGATCACACCACCCAACAACAGTGAACAACTCCCAACCCACTCTTGTCGATCTCGCTCGCCATGAATCTCCTCACTGAAACTATCCCCTCAACTCTTTGGCGCCCTCGCAAATCTCTTCTCCAACTGGGTTTTTTCGGAGATGGATTCTTCACCCAATAATCAGCACGACCAATTGATGTTGAGGAAGAAGACCAGGTTTGCAGTTGAGGTGTTCCCAACAAATCCTAAATGGGAGTTGTGCAATCAACATAAAAACTGCTCGATTAAGGAGGAAGGCGTGCCCAAAATACAGTGGTAGATTGTGACAACGAGGCCACGGACCCAACGCCAACGAGGAGGACTACGATCTTGGTGTTGAAGTCGTCGTTGGGGTCATCGTTGGTTGGTCTGCTAAGAGATAACATAGTATTATTGTATGTGTAAGGATGGAGGAGAGGTTGACGTTGTTCCTTAATTGGCAGACTGATTTCTTTATTTACTAGATAGACACAATTCACTTGCCTTCTTCTTCCTGCTAGTTCATAGAGGATAATCTTTGCCTCTCCTCCTCTTCTTTCTCATATCTACGACATTGCCACCTCCTTATCTTGTCATCCCGTCATCTGGATCTCTGGTCTGTTTCGGCGTTCCATTCTGCTGGCAAATCTCTGCTGGTGAATGGTTGCCGAGTCAGAAGCTTGTGGAGAAGAAATATGGAGATTTCTCGATACATCTAGGGAAGGGGAACCTCAACTGCCATCGTTGGCGCAAAGTAGGTTTGGGACTATGGGAGGAGCTAATGGTGGTCGCCGATGATGGCTTGTCGAAGCTTCTCCGTAGACTGGCTGCTTGAGTGGGATTGGGGTTAGGTAGAAGCTGACTCCAGAAGAGGAGGATTTCAAAGCTCCCTGCAAGATTCGAAGGATTCTGATGAGGAGTCATAATTGGGAATTAAATGATTTTTGAAACAATAAGCTAATCGAGGTGGCTGATGTGGCATGGAAGATGTGACTCATATTTGACTTGCAGTCCACTTCTGATGACATGTAAGTCCACACCAGCGAAGAGTTAACGATGTCAAAATGTCTAACGGAAATGGCTAAAGTTGTCAAATTAGTTTTAAAAATGAAATTTATTTGTGTATTTTTCAAATTTTGCCCATTATTGTCACAATGTGAATAGTTATGGCTATGAAAGTGTATTTTGCCAAAAAAAAAAACTACATGTTAATTCAGGCAATGGCCCGGCCCAAAGGGCTTGTTGACTTTGACCATAGATCTATTTCATTTTGAAGGGTAAATGCCATGTTTGGTCACTAGGTTTACTAAAAAATGACAAATTTAATCACTAGAAAAAATTAATATCAATTTTGGTCACTCGAATTACTGAATCAACCCATGTTTGGTAACTCTCCATTAGTCTCCATTAACCTCTGTTAACACAATCAATTTTTTGCTAATGTGTCTAACAGAAGTAATGATTCACCTTATTTTAACCTAAAAATTTTCATACTTGACCTGCCACGTCATTAAACTTGCCACATAACATACTCATTACCCAACCAACCCAACCCAACCCATGACCTAACCACCTCTTCTTCCCCATTTTGACCCGAATGAAAAAACCCTAACTCCCAAAACTATCTGCACATAAGTTACTATTAACGATTCTCCTTCCTTGCCTCCCTCTCTTCATGTCCATCACCGCCTCTCCTGGTTGCATCACCCCTAGAATTCCCGCCACATGCATCAACGAGGAGGGAAGAATCGGGATCAGACCGCTGCCACCGCCTCCGTCAGGTCTCGGAGTCATAGTCAGATCTACTGCCTTCTCTTCGTCGGGTGTTCTTGAGGACAACAAATCGACGACAAACAACTGCCTTCCTCGTCGAATCCCCCTTCCGGCGACTAGTTATTCTCTCACTCTCCCCCCCCCCACCCCCTCCTCGACTTGAATTAGTTCCGGTGATGGGTGCACGACGGAGACCCGGATCCAATCGCTGAAGCCCATGTTCTGGAGGGCCATCACCTTGTGGCCAGCGTTTGTGGAGAGATAGAGGATGAATGGGTGGTTGAGTAAGAGGTTGGGTGATTGAAGGCTAGAGAAGAATTTGGTGAAGGAGTTTAATTTGGAGATACATGGCGTGGTTGACCACAACGGAGATTCTTCTTCGTTGGATAGAGGTCAGGGCGACAGGGACATGAATCGCAGGTGGATGAAGGGAATTTCTTGTGGGGTTTTGTGATTGGGGTACCTAGACGGATGCAGGTTTCTGGGATTTGAAGTAAGCTGATGAGGAAGATGAAAGTTGCGATGTTATGATGGCATATGCGACTTTGTTCATCAGATTCTCCATGCGTCCGCCATTGATGACCATCGAGAAGCACGAGGAAGGATTTTGTAGTAGCGACGGGTCCAACTTCCCCTTCCATTTTGGGTTAGGAATAGAGAAGGAGGAGGAAGAAACGAAAGGGGGTGGCGAGATTAGGTTAATCGATGAAGTGAAGAAAATGAGGGAGAGGGCGACTGAGCTCCAGGGTGTTTGTGGCAGGGGCAAAGATCTTGACGAGATGAAAACGGATTCTATCTCGGGTAGGAAGAAGAGGAAGGGTCGGGCTGGATCAAATAGAGGAACAAGAGGATGGGTCGGGTCACGGGTTGGGTTGGGGAGGGTTGATGAAGTGGCGGGTGAGGTATATTTTTGTTGTTGTTAAAATAGGTTGATTAGGCAATTCTGTTAGCTACTTCAACAAAAAACTCACGTCGTGAACGGAAGCTAACGAAGAGTGACTAAATGTGAACTGATTCAGTAATTCGAGTGACCAAAATTGATATTAATTTTCTGTAGTAACTAAACATGACACGTTTTAGTAAACTCAGTGACCAAGCATGGCATTTACTCTCATTTTGAACTAGGGGTGGGCATCCGGTTCGGTAAACCCGAACCGAACCAAAACCGAACCGAAACCGAACTTTTGATTTTCGGTTCGAAACTCGGAAGGAAATTATGGGAAGTTCGGAAACCAAAGTTCTCTCAACCGAACAATGAGGTCCTTCTTGCATGGGCTTGCTTAAATGATGGGTAGGCTTGTTGTGTTTTGGTCCTTCTCCGGGCTTCCATCGAGGAAAGCAGGCTTGACAGGCCTGACGTCTTCATTTGTAGGACTTTCTACCGGGCCCGGCAGAAAAAACACTATAACGTTTACGGGGCGTACGCCTGGAACAAAAAGGTTCATCGTACAATTTTGGCGATTACAAAATGAGTATATCCCTCTCCCTTAGTGTCTTTACACTTCCGTCGTTCAGGAACAAACACTTCGCCTAATTCTTTTGAATCCCGGCCCACTTTTTTCCCACTAACCAATTACGTTACGACCTAAGATTCCGAATTCCGAACCGAAAACCAAAATATGCCCAACAGTTGACATTTCATGAACCCCAAGGCCCAAGCCCAAAAGCCTTTTTGCATATTGAAACCCAAGCCTAGCCCCATCACCATCTGCCCATCCCGCAAAACCCAAGCCCAAACCTAGCCCATCCCTTCCCACCACACAGCGACCGCACCGCCTGCCATTCCCCTCCGTTCCCTGCCTCTCTGCTCTTCGACGACCGACGCCATCAATCCTTCATCTCCGCCGTCTTCTCCTTCACGCTCTTCCACCTCCTTCACCGTCGGGTCAATCTTTCTTCCTTTCTTCACGGCTTTCTCTTCTCTGTCGACTGTCGTAGCCCGTAGCTAGTACTTTCTCCACCTGAATTGAAAAACAGAGACGATGCTCCTGAAGCTCGAAGGAGAATACAAACCCAGAAAATAACATGCATGCTTGGATCTGAACTCACAAGAACGAACCTTCGTTGTCCAAGTCGTCACCATCAACGCCGGCTGCCATCAATCACTTTTTTTTACTTCAGATCACCGCTGCCACCAATCGTTGTTGCTGTCTGCCGTCCTGCGTTACGCCCGCCGGTCGCCGCCGCCTCGTTAGTTGGTTGGAGGGGGAGAGAAAGGGGGAGAAAGGAGAGGAGAGAGTTTCTTATGAGGAATCAAGGATAAGTGAGATTTGAGAAGATAGGGTAAACGAGAGACCTCTTCCGTTTTGACTAGCAGCAGACGCAAAAACGTAGAAGCCATAAGAGGAAAACGCAAACAGCTGGCCTGTTCGGTTTTGGAGGAAAAACCGAGCCGAACCGAGTTATATTTTGATTCGGCCAAACCGAACAGAAATATAATTCGGTTTGAATTCATTTTGGCTTGTGGGTTGAATTAGGACCCCGATAATGGCCTATTCGGTTTGGTTTGAACCTAACCGACCGAATGCCCACCCCTATTTTGAACGACATATATCGAGTTAAACTAAACAACACCGCTACGGAGTGCCGGAGAAAAAGTCGAGGGCGTCGTGTTTCATTAGAGACAAGGCGATATATCCATCATTGAAACCAACTCGCCGTTTCTCTTCGGCCCTTTTAAGATAAAAATTAAAAGCCTACTACGCCCATAAAGTTTGGAGAAAACCTTCTTCAAAAATCTTCATCGATTGCTCAGAACTTTACTTCTACCCTACTTTTTTCCGGATATTAGTCGGCCGGCGGGAGAAGCAGGAAACCCGATTTCCCAAGTGGTTGATCAAATGACGAACAACTTGACTTCCCAGAGTGAGGAGACGGAGCTTGAAGTGAGACCTGGCGGCATGCTGGTACAGAGAAGAGACGGCGATGATCCTGATCACAGTCCCGGTGGTGAGCCTTCGATCAAGATTAATGTTGCTCTTGTCCCTGCTCAGCACGAGGTCCATGTCCCTGCTCAGTATACTTTCGGTATTATTCTCTTGTGGCTTTCCTGCTCTCTCTTCGTTTTCCGTTTGCTTTCAAATCCTGTTACGGAACTCATAAGTTTACTCTAGGTTTTCTTAGCAAGTAAAAATTCCCAGTGCGTTCGATAAACTATGAGCGAATTGCGTCTTTAACTTTTCGATTCGCACCACCTTTGGAGTCCAATGGCGTTTAAACGATATTAGGGATTGGCAGTCTGCGCATGATTGAGATCTGGCTCTTCCGTGGCTCCTACAAGTTTTACTTGTTTATTTGAACTTGTAATGGTGAATTATCTGGAAGAACTTAGCTTCAATGGGGCTTTATCGCGGATCTGGATTCTATAAGCCTTTCAATTGTTGCTTTCTCAGGGTTGTCCCTATATGGTGTTGACTAGCCTCAGATTAGAAGCAATTTTTTTAGCAAATCAGTATGTTTTGCTGATGTGCTTTCAGCCTACAATGCTCGAAAAACGTTAGTTTTCCCTTCATAGCAGTTGCCACGTGATCACTTTGTTGATTGTCTGGGAATTAGGCACTGATCTTCATTTGATCATCTTGATGCATGCCTTATCAATTGTTAATTGATTGCAGGTGAGTTGAAAATGATTATTGAGCAGAGAACAGGTTTGGAATGTGGGCGGCAGAAGCTGTTGTTCCGAGGTAAAGAGAAAGAAGATGGAGAGTATTTGCATGATGCCGGTGTCAAGGATAATGCAAAGATTTTGGTATTGGAGGAGCCAGTTAGTGCAGAGAAGGAACTTCCAGAGATGCCACAACCAGAGGTGAAAGGAAGAGAGGAAGAAACATCAACCGAAGATATCAAAGAAGAAGAGCAGCAGCCTTCAATCTCTGAAGTGGAGGACAAAGAGGAGATCTTGAAGGCGCTTCGAGCTATTGATGAAGTTAGGGCTGAGGTTGATATGCTGGCCGGAAGAGTGAGTCCATCGAGTTCGATTGGCTTAGCTGTATCAGACTTCACTTGTTATGTTTTTGCCTGAGATCTCCCTCCTTTCCATTTTTTAAACAGGTGTCTGCACTTGAAGTTGCTGTCAATTCTGGAACAAAGGTTGCTGAAAAGGAATTTGTTGTATCGGCAGAGTTACTGATGAGGCAGTTGCTGAAACTGGATATGATCATGGCTGAAGGAGAAGCTAGGGTTCAACGGAAGGCTGAGGTAAGTTTTTCTGTGTTATTTCTGTTTTTGTCTGAATGAGTTTTAGCTAAATGTTGTGGCGATTCAACCATGGGCATGCTACTAGACTCATTACTGTAGTTTCGCCAAATGCAAGCAACGCCAGCATACAGCAGGCCTGATGGATGTAGATGTGATGCCTAGTCAAGTCAAGAAATTTGTAGTGCCATTTGCAGGATATTCTGCCTATGTTTGATTCAGCCTAATAGTAAGAGTGGGAGATTGTAGAAAACTTACTAAAACAAGTGAATAATGGTCAAATAACTAGATGGTCACATAAACGTTCGGCTATCATATTTTGAGTAGTAGAAATTTGAAATCGTAAGGTTGTTGTCCATCGAGAGATTTGTTATTTGATCAACCAGAGACGAGACGCCAACTGTCTGTGACTGAAAGGTACGAGGTACTAAGATTGCTGGTGTTAAACTTGTTTGAACATTACTGCAGGTGCGGCGAATCCAGAATTTCCACGAGCTGCTGGACAACTTGAAGGCAACAAATGCGAAGCCAGTCAACACAAACGTCAATGTTGCCACCGTGACGACTGATTGGGAAACGTTTGACTCTGGAATGGGAAGCTTGACGCCACCACCGCCGGGGACATCTTCTTCAACTGCCATCACCGAGGACTGGGAAAGGTTTGATTAGGTAAACAAAGGAGCCCTTCTCAACTACTCCTGCCAACGAAAGGTTTGGACATATATAGTTCTCTGAACAGCATATAACACTCCTACCATCTTCAGAAGGTGTCATTCTTGGTTCCTTTTTACTGGTTCTGCCGAAACAAGTTTACGAAGAAACTGCCTGCCATTTTGCTGTAAGATCCATCATTGCGATCATTCACTTGTGTGAGGTATATTGTTACTGTTTTAGGCGACGGACTAGATAACAAACACTGTTGGTTGGGTTCTGATGTTCCAATTTGCGGGCCGATGACTAGTTGTCCACAAAACAGCTGTCGAACCAACTGATATAATACTATATATAATAGATATAACCCTGAATACATACAAAAACCCTCAAAAAATATATATGTTCTTTCACCTTACAAATTGATTGTCAAGCCTCTAGCACCGTTGATATAGGGAGAGGGTGCAATGTCTTCAGCATAATTGGCACCGGTATTCCAGCCATGCTTAGTAGGGTCGAACTTCTCGCCGTCTCCCCAAAGTGCATAAGCTTCCTCGCCGTGAACGGCGTCGTCGCCGATGGCTAGCTGATCCTCGGGCATTCGCAAAGGGATGAACAACCTAATGGCCAGAAGTATGAGGGTGGTGGAAACCACGTTCCAGCCTATTACGAAGAGCGCCGCTACGATTTGCTTGAGGAACTGGACACCTCCATTGCCGCCGTAGAATGCTCCCCTGGTTTTGATCGGAAGGATGAGCTCGCACAGCTCCGGCTCGGCTAGGAGTCCCGTCAGCAGGCCGCCCAATAGCCCCGCCACCGCGTGGGTGTGGAACGCGCCTAGTGTGTCGTCTACCTTTAGAGCATGGAAAAACCAACGCTAAAATGAGAAATCTAATTATAGAATGAATTCTATTTTGTCATTACTAGGTCGATCATGGGCCCATTGGGCTCGATGAAGTCATCTTGGACAAGTCAAACTTATGACGCAGATGAGATGGGTCCTTCTCAATTCTCATCTGTGTGGCTTTGAATTTGATGGGTCAAACGTTCCAATCGATTAAATATAAGACCAACTTGGACTCAACGCAACAGAAGCTTCTTAATGGTTGGTACTTCGTAGTTCGTACTATATTTTTCCGGCCTAAAAAAATATCTCATCATTGGTCGGGGTTAGGTTTGGATTTTTATAACCCTTGTTATTATTACTGTTCTTATTATTATGGGCTTTTATAAAACTTTTTTTTATAACTATCTTATCATGTAATTTACAACCTATAATCATTTTGTTTTAGGGTTTTAAACTCTTAACAAAAAAATATGAGTTAACCCAGCTTATAGAAATACATCGATTTAGTCCTCTTTTCAAATTAAACCAAAGATTTGTATCAGTTACAGGTCAGCTCGGTTGTCCCTTCTTGCCTTTTGTTTCTCATTTTCTTTATTTATTTCTTGTTCGTTTTTTGTATGGTCAAATATTGTTGTGGCTACCATTTAGCTTTTTATGAAAATGTGAATTTCTTAGTTCTTTAAGTGTTGTTTAAATAACTAAACAATAAATCAATAAAATACATCACATTTCAAATATTTTCGTCAAACAAAATAGTTTTGAACCAAATAAGTGAAATAACTCAACAATACTCAATCTACCCATAAGAAACTTCAAATGAGAAACCCCGAAAAGTCAATCAAGTAATTCAATAAGACAAAGTGGAAAGAAAAGAGAATATATATGAAAACGAGTAGAGTCGACGGAAGAATTACCTTCTGTAGCAGTGCTGACTTCTTGTGGAGAACCATCATTGACACCCACGGAATGCTACCAGAAAGAATTCCCATCACAATAGCCGCCCACGATTGCACCAACCCTGCACCCCACCACAAAAAAAAAAAAATTCTTCTCATTTCAGTACCCGTAAAACAAATACCTTCCAAATCAATCCAGCAAGTCTCAGAAATTCTAATCGAAACCTGCGCCGGGAGTAATACAAACAAGCCCCGTCATCATCCCCTGCACGGCTCCGATCACCGACGGCTTCCCGAAGAACACCACGTCCAGCGACGTCCACACCAGCAAGCTCGTCGCCGCGCATACATTCGTGTTCAGAATCGCCAGCGAGGCGTCGATATTCGCCGCGTAAGGCGCCCCACCGTTGAACCCCGACCACCCCATCCACAGAAGCCCCGCGCCGGCGAGCATCAGCAGGACGTTGTTCGGCGGGAACCTTTCCCTATCCGCTTTCAGCCGCGGCCCAACCTGCCCCGCCAAAATCAAATCATTAATTGCCCTGATTCAATCTCATCTAATCTAATCTAATCAATCAACTTCAATTGAATTGAATTGAATTACCCAGTAAGCGGCAGTGAGACCGGCGATCCCGGAGGAGAGATGAATGACGTAGCCGCCGGAGTAATCAATTACTCCCCAGTGGTAAAGGAACCCGCCGCCCCACAGGCTAAAAGCTCCAACCGTGTAAGAAAAGACGAGCCAGAGCGGGACGAAAGCCATCCATGCCCGAATATTCATCCGCCCCAAAACAGAGCCGGCGAGCAGAATCATCGTGATCGCCGCGAAGGTGAACTGGAAGTAGACCAAAGTCGCCATGGGGTAAAACGGCTCGGCGACGTGGTAAGTCCCGTCCTCCTGTCGGTGCCGGCTCTCGGGGACGATGGCTCGACGGATTAGGTACTTCTGGCCGAGAGCAGGGGCGCCTTTCCCCCAAAAGGGCAAGAGCTCGTCGCCGAAGGCCATCCGGTAACAGAGCAGGACCCAGCAAATTAGGACGGCGGCGAAGGCGTAGAGCGCCATGAAGGCCGAATTGACTGCCCATTTCTTCTTCACGATGCTGGCGTAGAGGATTACGAGTCCCGGCATGCTCTGGATGGAGACGAGGGCGGATGCCGTCATCTGCCAGGCGTTGTCGCCTTTGTTTAGCCATTCTGGCACCGCTGGGTCCAGCGATCTGTAGGCTATTGGGATCTGATCCATTTTTCTGGGTCACTTCTGTTATGGGACGGACGGACGGGGGTTAATTGGAGTGTGAAGAAGGCAAGCTATACGGTTTTTGCTGCGACGATTGAACTACTCTCTGTTACGGGTTTTATGTGGGATTTTGCGGAAGGCGTGGCGCGGTGGTTTCCTTTTCCTACTGGAAGTTTCGTTGATTTTGAGACTGAGTTCATACTGCGGCTGTGAAGTGGACTTGGACTTTAGGGAAGAGGGGTCATGGTGGCCTGGTGGGATTTAATTTTCATATTCCTCGGTCTTTCCTGGTCGTCTTGCCATAATGTAGCTATACAGTTATGATAATAAATTTTTTGTTTCTACAATCATAAATTGAAAAATATTAAAATATACACCATAATTTGTCAAGCAGTGCATCTAGGATTGTGAATAGTTGGTCAGGTATCGATTAGAACGAATAATCAAGTTGACTAGTGGTTAATCGATAATTAATAATTGTTTAGTGATTTTCTAGTTGATATTGCTTAGTGGTTAGCTACAAATCGATCGATTAAGTTAACCACTAAACAATCAAATAACCGACTACTAGCATAACTATAGCCGTTTGAGTTTTGACCATGGGGGAAAATCGCAAAATTCAAGACCAACCAAAGTCAATCTCCAAATATCCCAATCCTCACCTATTGCAAACAATCATCCACCCGAAATCTCAAATGTCTCAAAGAGTTAGAACCTAAAAGTCTCACCTCTCCAATTCCCCTTTATAGTCGATGAAGCGAACCTCACTACTTAGTAGTCTTCATTTCTTTGATGTTTGTGAGTGATAGTGCTTGTGTTTGATGTCCAACTAGTTGGTACTTGCCTACTTGGTACTACTAACCAGATTAAGTCGTTTGGTTATTCAAAATTTTATGTGTTGAGATTGGATTTAGATTATGAATTCATGATAGAGGACGTATTATATTGATATGATTTCTTATAATTACTATTTTATGCTAACCATTTAGAATTATTTTTAAATGATTTTCACTTATTTTGTTTGATTATAATTTATTATTAAAAGTACAAAAAAAAATTAAAATAACAAAAGAGAAGTATCACATGTGGAGGTTGTTATTGGTTAGTGGTTAATTAACCCAATCAATGAGAGGATGATTTTTAGATAAGGGTGACAATTACTTTTTGTTATTAGGTACCAGTTAAAGGATTCGAACCTAAGACCTTCAAATTCAAAATTAGTGGTATTATCGTTAGACCAATCATTTTTTTCGTACCAATAAGAGGATGTTTACCAATAAGATTATTAATTTAGTTACTAGTTACATTTTTGGCTTAGTGGTTAGCCCCAAACCGTTAAATTTATTAGTGATTAATAGAGCTCATTTGCACCCCAGTAGGGGGAAAAGAATGTGCAATGTGAGTGTTGAAAACAGGATCTCTATATTCAAAATTCGATGAGGCCATAGTTAGTTATCCAAACCTCTGTTGTCATTGCAATTACTATGTTTGGCCATTTGGGAATGGAACAGACAAAGAAATCCCGCCTCGTGCTCAGGATTAGCGCCGGCGGGAAGAGAATTTATCATGGACTTGGGTGGAAATGAGGAATGCCAATGGGCAGGTTCAGGATATCTTGATATACATACTTGTCCCGTGGTAAGTTGGGTACACGTCGGGTAATTTATCATAGGGCGCGGGTCGGGGCAGGTCGACCCAATGAGTATTTAATTTATGTGAAAACAATTAGAAGTATTCGTTATTTTCATTAAAAGACTAAGAAAGAAACCATAATATGATGAAATGTATTTAAATTATTGAAGAAATTAAGGTTTTCACTTATTTACAAGTTTATTATAGCTAAAATATGTGATAATAAAAGAAAAATCCTAAATAATTTTACTAAAATTACACGTAATTTAGATAAGAACGGGTCAAGAATGAGGCGGGTCGGGGCCGGTCAGGTCGATGGGAGGTACCCATGCCCGCCCCAGCCCACCTACGAGTCGGGCCGGACCCGCCCCAAAACAGGTCAAACAAGTCGGGTAAAACGAGTCAGGTCGAAATTGCCAACGGAAATTGATGAGAGAAAAGTCGGATTCATATCCATTATTTTGTAACCTTCGTCCGTGCTTGTTAGAGTTTGGAAGAGATGGCCTAGCCTAGCCACCATGGTTATGCATTTGTGTGCTTCCAGAAACGGGACGAGAAGTTATAGAATTGACTCGTCATAGTCGTAATTCATATGTGCATGGTGCCAAATTTGGAAATTGTAACAGAGGAGAGGAGACTCATAATTTGTAGGAAAAGGAGAGAATTTTGTGATACATTTCCAAGCATTATATGGGATGAGGTTGATAATTTCTCTTGCTGCAACTAGGTAGTCAAATTCCAAGCTAAGTATGATATTCATATCCTAGTTAGGGGTGGAAGTCGGTACGGTATCGGTATTCCAATACTCGAATATCGAATTATTTCTTAAAATCAATCCCAATCACAAAATAATTTCGTTATCCCAATTCCAATCCCTAATATTTTGGTTCGGTATCAATATATACCAAATACAAAATTAATTCTTTTGTAAATTTTTTCCACCACAATACACCAGAGTAGGGGTGACTATATGGTCCGGTCCGGTTAATCTGACCCGGATTGATATGGTCCCATTCCGAATTTTTTGGGAATATGAGGAACAAAAACTGGATTGGATACAGTCCGATTTTGACCCAGTCCGGGTCCGGATCCGGTTTTAACACTCAAAATCGGAAATATACTTTACCCTAAAATGCGTCCACTTTCTATTAGGGGTGTTCAAACGGATTGGTTAGCTTGGTAACCATATTAACCGGTAGCATTCGGTTAATTTGGATAATTGGTTTGGTTTGGTTAAACAATTTAGCTTATTTGGTTTAGGTGGTTTGGTTTGGTTTCAACACTGCTAACCAATGAAACCAATTAACCAATTAATGATACAACTAATATAAAAAATTATTTATACTTACATGCAACCAACAAAACCAAACTTTTGTGATTCCCTATTTTATTTCCCATGTGTACAACAAACCAAAGCATTATGTGTCAAAAATTAAATAGGCCTGCCCATTTACTAAACCAAAACATTTTGGACAACTACTAGACTTTAGGATTACGTACAATACCATGACAGTCACCTCAAACTATGTATAATTTAAGTGTTTTGTAGGAGAGCTTTAACATCTTGATGAGTCGTATTGATATGTATTTAAATTTATGTTAAGGGTTTGTTGTAAGCTAACTATATTAGGTCCAGAGATGATGAATGATGTATTAACTCAAATGATAATGATAATCATAAATGGTTAGTCTTATTATTATTTTGCTTATATATAATGATAGTAATAACATATGGTTATATTTTATTCATTACAAGATAATTGTTTTCATGTAATGTTATGTTATATGGTTAATCCGACTATCCTATTAACCAAACCAATTAAACTTTGGTTTGGTTAATTTGGTTTCATGTTAATTTGGACGGTTTGATTAAGACATTTTATTCCATGGTTAATGAAATTTAGGCTTAATTGATTTGGTTATTACCACCGTAACCATTTGAACACCCCTTACTTTCTATTTTCTATGGGAAAAAAGCGTCAATTTTTATGCTATCTGAAGAATGGTATAAAATCTTGCTTGTGTTCTATTATTCATTAGTAGAATTTATGCAATGGATTTGAGTACATGGGCAGAACGTGTGATATCGTTGGAGAGATTTGGGGTAACAGATGGAAGTGGGGAATCAGCTATTGGTGTAATGGGAAATGCTAACAGCTTCAGCTAACCTCATGCGGAAGACCCGGACAGCCTTATCACGCCCCCGCAAGTTGAAGGTTGGTGACCTTCAACTTGGTTCGAAAGTGCTGGAATCGTTGGCGAGGGAGAGGCTTGGTCAGCAGGTCTGCAATTTGATCATTGGTTGAGATGTAACGGACTAGTAATTGACGAGCAGCCACACCTTCGCGGACAAAGTGAAAGTCGATCTCCATGTGCTTGCTACGAGCATGAAAGACAGGGTTAGCTGTCAGATAAGTGGCGCCAAGATTATCACACCAGAGCTTCGGAGGGGAAGGCAAGGTGTGCCCAATTTCAGCAAGGAGAGATTGTAGCCAAATAATCTCGGTAGCTAGTGTGGCAAGCGCCTTATACTCGGCTTCAGTGGAGGAGCGGGCAACCGTGCGTTGTTTGCGAGAGGACCAGGAAATCAAATGAGAGCCAAGATATACAGCATAGCCAGTGGTGGAGCGCCGGTCTGCAACACTATTGGCCCATGCTTCATCAGAGTATCCGGACATCTGCGGTGATGAATGGTAGCTGAAAAATAAACCATGATTAGTAGTACCACAAAGATAACGCAAGATGCGTTTGACATCGGTCCAATGATGTTGGAGAGGCTGATGCATATGCTAAGCGCAGTTACTTACAGCTTGAGCAATGTCGGGGCGAGTGAACTGGAGATACTGTAAGGCACCAACAATCTAACGATAGAGAGTGCCATCTGGAAATTGTGTAGAGTCCTGTTCAGCGGTGGTTGTGGCAACAGGAGTGGCAAGGGCATTTGCTGTAGTCAACTGCGCATGGGCTAGAATGTTATTGATGTACTTGCACTGAGATAGAAGGAGGCCTTTGGAGGACCATAGAACTTCGATTCCAAGGAAGTAAGAGAGCTGACCAAGATCTCGGACTGCAAATCGACAGTGAAGATATAGAAGGAATTCCTGCAGTGCAGCCGGCTGATTGCCAGTTATGAGAATGTCATCAACATATACGAGGACATACAAATGTAAAGAGCCATGACACAGAATGAACAACGAGGTGTCTGTCTTTGATCCACGAAACCCATAAGCCTCCAATGCACGTCGGAGGCACTGAAACCAAGCTCGCGGCGCCTGTTTGAGGTCGTAGAGTGACTTGTGTAGGTGGCAAACATGGTTGGGTCGTGTTGGATCAACAAAACCAGGCGGTTGCTGCATAGAAACATCTTCAGTCAAAGTACCGTGAAGAAATGCATTGGCAATGTCCAATTGACGAACATGCCATCGCTGGGAGACTGCAAGAGAGAGGATGATCCGCAGGGTGGTGGGTTTGAGAATCGGACTGAATGTGTCGCCGAAATCAATATCGAGGCGCTGTTGGAAGCCACGGGCAACAAGGCGGGCCTTGTACCGTTCAATCGAGCCATCTGATTTGGTC